TGCAGCCTTGCTTGGGATTCACAGAGCATGCAGCTATGAGGCTCTGAAAACCCTACCCCTACTCTTTAACTATTACTATTAATTTATACTAGTATTTTTAAATTGCTGTTTTTATGTTTTAATACATTTCACTTGTACATAGCCCAGAATTCCCTATTAGGGAGAGAGATGGTTTTTAAAAAATGATGAATGAATGAATGAGTGAATGAATGAATGCTTCACTGTCATTTATACACAACTTCGGTTTAGACAAACCTCATAAGCAAAAGAAGGAAGTTTAAGTACACAAAACTGAAGTATTACTTTGATGCTTATTAGTTACAAAAATTAATACATTAGCAAATTAATATTCTATTCCACGGGTATAAATTTACTTAACATTACTGCTAAATCAAAACCACTTCATCTTCACCATTTAACACATTAATTTTACTTTTATATTCAGAATTTTAAAGTTATTTAGATATTTTTTAAAGATGGGAACAATTTCTGATGGCTATCCTTTGATCTGTTTATTTGTAGTCTTCCCCTTCAGACTAGTCCTCAGTCTTCCTAAGCAACATCTCTTTTTCTAGGACATTGTCTACTCACATCATAAATCCAAAATATGACTTACTGCTTATTGATTATAATTTTGCAATCCATTTTTCTTGGATTTGAATCTAGAATAAGTTCTGATTATATACATATGACAGTTCCCAGTTAAGATAAACCAGTCACGTACTGCTTCTTGGTGGTCAATGTAACCATCTTGGCTAACCACCAGTCTCTAGAACTTGTTTCCTGACATTCCTCACTTTGGCCACACCATATTTTTATTTACTTTCAAAATCTTAAGCAAATCATTTTATTGTTAAGGCAACACCACTGTCACTTTATGGGTAGAATTAGTGCAGTGGCTTGTTAATTTGTACATTGTGTTGCATTTATGCAGTGGTGTGTGTGTGTGTATGCAGACAGATATATATATTTTACAGTTTTTATGCAACACCATCTCGTTCCTTACCTTTTTGTACAGACTGATAACATTTAAAATGCCTCTTCTCATGCAGCTTTAAAATTCTAACTTCGTGTGTGTGTGTGTGTGTGTGTGTGTGTGTATGAACACAAATTTCAGTCAAATTCTAACATTATATAAATGTCTATATAATATGGATCAGGGTCTTTGGAAAATATAGGAAGAATACTTTAGATTATGCTCTTAGTGAATCAATTTGAAACTGTTTATTAAACAAAATTCCATTTAACTTTTTAGCATTTCATAAAAATGGACTATTTGTAGTACAATTACAGGTAGTCCTCAGCTTACAAGATGGTTTAAGTTGTTTCATGACTGTTCGAAGCTACATCATTGAAAAAAGTGACCTGACCATTTTTTACACTTACAATCATTGTAGCATTCCCATGGTCATGTGATCAAAATTCAGATGCATGGCAGATAACTCATAGGTTATATAGTTAACAATTTGAATAAATGTTTTTAATATATTTGAAAAAACTGTAGTCAAGAATATTTTGTAATTCATTCTACTCTTTAATTCATTTTTCTGGTAACAGTTAGATTCACATTATTACAAACAGTGCATGTTTCCTTATGGAACTACCCGAGACAACAACTTGAAAGCACCAAAGAAGTTCATTAATGTATTTGCAAATATGGGCGCAACAAAGGTGAACACAGAACAAAGACTCACCGCTCCCTCCCCATGTTAGCACATCATACTGTCAAAGCATTTAGTTTAAACACCCCCCCAAAAAAACCCATGTCTAGCAACATTTTCAGTTTTGACTGTGTAACCTACTTTTTTTCACATAAGCTCTACTGTTCTTTTTTCCCTGCTTGCAGTTACAGCTGGCATCTTGCTTGCTAGGCTTGTAGTTTCACACATCTGATATTTAGCTTGTTACCTGTTAATGCTTTTGAAGACAGCTTACATTTTTTCCAGTTACATGCATTTATGCTAAGAATTTTAGAAACAATACATACTCTATCTTGTTTTTGCATTTAATATTTGTATATATCAAAATTTCTTTGTTTTCTTAAGTTTTCGCGGGTATTTATATGTATGGTATTCAGCTTTGTTCGGATATTTTCCCATGTCATTATAGTTGTGCTTTTAAAGTTGTAACAACGTTTCGGCAGAATCTCATCTGCCATCATCAGGCTTCTGTATAGTGTTCATCTGTGAGTCAGACTTTAGAAACGGCTGTGAAAGTCTGACTCACAGACGAACACTAAACAGAAACCTGATGATGGCAGATGAGATTTTGCCGAAACGTTGCTACAACTTTAAAAGCACAACTATAATGATGTGGGAAAATACCCCAACAAAGCTGAATACCATACAAAATTTCTTTATATCAACATCTTTCTTAGAAACAGCAGTATTTAAATGTGTTGAAAATAACACATTATATTCTCTACTGCCTAGTAGGCTCAGTACCTAACACAACATTTAAAGCAGTCTTTGTCTTGAGATTAAGCATAAGGCCTAGACCAGTAAAAATAACAAAATTCACTATATGGCAGGATATACAAAAAGGTATTGTGTATAGCTTTTAACTCATCAAATTAAAAAAAAAGCTTAAATATCTCTTCAATGAATGAAACTTTATTCACATTTCATATAAACAGAGTTAGAAGATAGCACTGAGATAATCCACTTCAATACTATTCAGTTAAGTGATCACCCTTTTTTAATTATATGAATAAAGTAATTCCTAAGAGTTTATATTCCTCCATACAATATTTTTCTGGACAAAAAAATTTGAATATGTATATTTAAAAGTATATTTTCTTTATAATTACAAATGTTATTACCAAGTTATTTTTTCCTGGATTTTTATGCTAAGTATTCAACAAAAACTATTTCATTTCCCTTATTTTCAGTGTAACAATTCTTCATAAAAATAATACTTAAAATGTTAAAATGACATGAAGGAGCAATGTCATTCAGGTCCTTCCAGAACAAAAGCCTAGTATAGTAAAGAAATGAGGATTTCTGTAATTTACAGTCCACAACTGAGCAATATTTTATTTTTAATAAAAAATCATTCATTTTTCACACATTAGAATGTCCAATTTTGTCTTATGGTTAACAGCATTGCATAATTTATGGGTTCCAAAAATACGATACATTAATACAGTGCATTTTGTCATTTGGGCCACACTTCTAAGCAGTCTAAATAAAAAGATAATTGTGAAATATTGATTGGCTGAGAATGGGAAAATGAAGTTGCCAAACCATGACTTACAACAATAAATAAGCGGAGTTAACTATTTTCTTTATAGCTGTTTGTGGTTTAATGTATTCAGTCTTCCAAGAAAGTTTGAAAAGCAATGGCATTTAAACTAAGTATTAAAATATTTCAAATATTAACATCTGCTTCTATTCTGATTGGAATATATAATTCATGTTGTTACATACAAAAACACACCTATCACCTTCGAGAATAACAAATATATTGTCATATTTTACTGAACGTTCCACACTTGAAAAAGCACCTTTGAGATATTTGACCGTTATTCAGGAAAAAGAATATGCTTCAATACTTGCCACTATCTATCCGCCTGCCTGCCTGCCTGCCTCCCTCTCCCTCTCTCTCCATCCATCCATCTTTCATTTATTAATTCAGTTCTCTATCTACAATATTTATTTTAGTGTTGAGGCTAAAAACAGAAGCAGCCTCTCATTAATATGTAAACTCCGTCTCTCGGGAAACTGTGAAATATATAACAATGAAATAATATCTCAGAAAGTAGCAAGAATCACACCGCAAGGGATTCCACTTCTTTTTTAACTGAGGCTTGCGGCAGGAGAATTCATGAAATCCTCGTCAATCCTTCAGCGGAGAACCCACTTCCCGCTCAAAATTCCACCTTTCTCCGATTCTTCATCACTAAGAGGTTCATCCCAGACTTTTAAAAAAAAAAAACTTGTTCAACCAATCAGCTTCCAGGAGCTGAACACCCTCCACCAATAGAGAGTAGCAGACTGCTGTAGTGGGTTCGCGGTCGGGAACCGTTAATCTAACGGTCGACAGTTGAGGCCACCCTCAAACGGGAGTTGAACGTCGAACCTCCGAGGGAAAGCACTGAACCTCGTCATCTTCGTGAGGCACCATGGTGGGAAGTGGGACTTGTGTGGCTGGGCTTCGTTCAGTGGGGAGCAGGATCATGGCAGCTCTTTAAGCCTCTTGGCGTAGTAATGCTATGAGGGAACCGCGAGCGTAGGGTACGAGAATGATATGCTCGTGAAGGAATGCTGTCGCCTCATGTCCTCGATTTTCCCCGCGCGACCTTCGCCTCAGTCGAGGCTTCGTACCTCAGAAAGGCGCGATTCGGTCGAGGACATGAGCACGAGGGCTGAAAGGCCTCCGCCTTGGATTTGCCATGGTGCGAAGCTGAAAGGGGATGGGGGTCGTGGGGGGAGAATATTGGTCTTGGTGCTAAAGAACAGTGAACCAACAAGAAACAACAAAGAGATCTGTTGCATAGATTTAGAGTCCATTGATTTGGCCGGTGAAAGAGCTGCATAATAAAGAGTCTAGTGTGAAGTAGTGGCAAAGAATGAGACATATGGCGGGTTGAAGTATGAGGTACTGCATAATTGAAACAAAAGAGATTTCATATCTCATAGCAGGAACAGAAGTATAATGTGGAAATGTAGTGGACTATAGAGAAAGTGTACTTTTTAGCATTATTAAACCATTCTCAAAGATCTTTTTTTTAAAAACTTGGGTGTCAGAAGGGCAATTGATCATTAAAATAGTGCATATTTTAAAATAGACATTCAAAATCAAATGGGTATATTATCAAAATACATTTTTGTGGTGCTTCATTATTATGCATACTTTCAAAAATAAACATTAATCTTGCCTTCTTTTTTAAAAAAAACTTTTTTTTTTAATAGCGTGAATGTATCTCTATCCATGTTGGACAAGCTGGAGTTCAGATTGGTAATGCTTGTTGGGAATTGTATTGTCTTGAGCATGGAATTCAGCCAGATGGTCAGATGCCCAGTGACAAAACCATAGGAGGTGGAGATGATTCCTTTAACACATTTTTTAGTGAAACCGGTGCTGGCAAGCATGTACCTAGAGCTGTTTTTGTGGACCTTGAGCCAACAGTTGTTGGTATGTATAAGGGCCTGGAAATGTGGAATCAACATGTGGATGATCAGAAATAATTTACATTTATAAAATATTTGTCTTCATTATTTAGAAGTAAGAAAAGGGGGGTATTTTTCCCAAATAAACTTGAATTTTTATGAAAGCAATTGTAAACAAAGTTGTTTGACTTTCACACGTTGACTTTATGAAATGAAATCCAATTGTGCATTCTGTTAAAAAAAAATAGTAACATAGGAAGTTATTTCATTTACCCTCTTCTTATATTAATAAGAGTAAGAATAAGACAGAAGTACACTGTTTTTGTAACAGTATTTTTTCTTACCAAGAAAAAACACCCTGATGTAGTCATCAGAAGTGAACTAACATTTTTTTCATGCTGAGAGTCTTCTGTCTGTCTATCTGTGTTTAATTTTAATTCCTGAAAAAAGAAACCCTATCTTCTGTTCAGAAATATTAGCCAGAAATGAACTCATAACTATCTGAAGTATTCTCAAGTTTGTAATGTTTTTGGATCATGTAAAAACATGCTTGACAAGGAATAAGAATAGTTGAATCCCTTCCAACTCAGTCAATCTATTAAATACATTATTTCTGAGTTTATGGAATATTATTAGAAATAATAAAACACTGGATTTTGAATTAGAATTAATCAAACTTGGTTTTTTTAATCTTCAAAGATGAGGTGCGTACAGGTACTTACAGACAGTTATTTCATCCTGAGCAACTCATTACTGGAAAAGAAGATGCTGCTAACAATTATGCTAGAGGCCATTATACCATAGGAAAAGAGATTGTTGATTTAGTGCTGGATCGCATTCGAAAATTGGTGAGTCATAAGATGTGAATTAGAAAATGCAAATAAAAATGTGAAATTTGAAAATTTACCGTTTTAAAGTCAGGACCATAGAAATTCCGGTGTTTTATTTTCAAAAGTACCATGTTTAAAAAATACTTGATCTTTATAAGTAAGAAGTGCATATTAGAACTACACTATATTAATTTTTAAAATTTTATTAATTTTAATTGAAGAGTATTAATGCAAATATTTTAATTGAATACAGTAGCAAATCTGCATATTAAATTTATACTGTTGGAATTAAGTATTCTGTTCAATGACCTCACTTTTTGTTGTGTTTTTTTGGGGGGGTTGTCTTTTTTGTAGGCTGATCTGTGTACTGGTCTACAGGGTTTCCTTATTTTCCATAGTTTTGGTGGAGGTACTGGCTCTGGATTTGCATCTTTGCTAATGGAAAGACTCTCAGTCGACTATGGGAAAAAATCCAAACTGGAATTTGCAATATACCCAGCTCCACAAGTATCTACTGCTGTGGTGGAGCCTTACAATTCTATCCTTACTACACATACCACATTGGAACATTCTGACTGTGCATTCATGGTGGATAATGAAGCTATTTATGATATATGTCGACGTAATCTTGACATTGAGCGTCCTACTTACACCAACCTCAATCGTCTCATTGGTCAAATTGTGTCTTCTATCACAGCTTCACTACGTTTTGATGGTGCTCTGAATGTAGATTTGACAGAATTTCAAACAAATCTTGTTCCTTACCCACGAATCCATTTCCCTTTGGCAACGTATGCTCCTGTCATTTCAGCTGAAAAGGCATATCATGAGCAGTTGTCTGTGGCTGAAATTACTAATGCTTGTTTTGAGCCAGCTAATCAGATGGTAAAATGTGATCCTCGGCATGGTAAATATATGGCATGTTGCATGCTGTACAGAGGTGATGTAGTGCCAAAAGATGTCAATGCCGCTATTGCAACAATCAAGACGAAACGTACTATTCAGTTTGTGGATTGGTGTCCAACTGGATTCAAGGTACCATATTGTCGAATATAAACAAACATGGGATATAATCTTGGTGAACTCCAATGATTTGGATTTCCTAATATTAAAAAGTAATCAGGATAAAAACAATCTAATAATATATGAGTAAGATTGCATTTATCAGGTTATTGTTTCTGTACGAAGGGATTTTATTGCAGACATGTGAATTCAGCAATAATCTTTTTCTTGCCCAGATCAGATAGTGGATGCTCCCGAATCTGAAAATGTTGATCAGCATTTATTTTATTGATTGATTGTGGTGCTAAGTGTAGAGCTTTCTATGAAACTTGAGTAGATTTTTTAAATTCTTTTATGATTTTTAAAATAATTAGAGATGGCAAACATACTGAATAGTCCTTCTTCCTATTTTCTGTACAATAATCCTTTGAGATGGATTGGGCTGTGAGAGAGTGACTAACCCAAAGTCACCCAGCTGGCTTTCAATCGTCATTACATGAACAGTCATTTTATTATGAGATAGGTGGCAAATAAATTCAGTAAATAAATGATGCACACCAAATTGCATTTCCCCCCAGTTATTAGTCTCTGGTACAATCATACTTAGGATAAATAAATAATCTATTCTAAATGAAAGGTAGTGTGCTTATTAGAGCTTTAGTATATTTAAGGGAATTAAACCTTAATTCCATTTATTAATGTATCTGTTATGATAAAAGTGAGGCAAATTGCATAGATTAGGGCTTTTATTTATTTATGAGGTATATCTTTCTCCATCTCCCTTTTTGATTCAAAGATACAGTTTCATGTCTAATTTTTTGTTTCCTGCTATGCTTTTATGCATAAAATGCTCAGGGAGAAGGGAAGGCAGGGAGAGAAGAAGTTCAGATTTGAAAATCCCTTGCAGTATTGAAATGTAATGAATGTTTTTGCCTTCCTTTAGGTGGGCATCAATTATCAGCCACCCACTGTGGTACCAGGAGGAGATTTGGCCAAGGTGCAACGTGCTGTATGTATGCTGAGTAACACTACTGCTATTGCAGAAGCTTGGGCTCGCCTTGATCATAAATTTGATTTAATGTATGCTAAGAGAGCCTTTGTGCATTGGTATGTAGGGGAAGGAATGGAAGAAGGGGAATTTTCTGAAGCCCGAGAGGATCTGGCTGCCCTCGAAAAAGATTATGAAGAAGTTGGTGTTGATTCTGTGGAAGCTGAAGCTGAAGAAGGAGAAGAATATTAAGCTATGTCAGATGACATATATTTCAATATTTTGTACTTCAAGTTCACTTGTTCAGTTCCAAATAAACATTTAAGTGTTCTAACAAGTTTAATAGCTATTTAAAATAGCTTTAAAACCATCTCTTGAAACAGTTTTTATATACTTTGAGCAAAGCATAAAAGTTTTCATCCATTCTTTATTTCTTCCTTTCATTCTTACAGGATCTTTTAAAAATTTATAAAGTAAGTATTCTGAAATAGTTGTTAAAGTGTTATTGCATCTTAGAACATGTGTACGTAATAAAAATGATATTGGGGATGTCATTGATTGTGTATATGGAATGTTAATTAAAGTAATGTGAATAAGAAAATCTTGTTGCAATCTGATCAGTGGATTTGGTCTACTCTGGTTTCATCTTCACTTTTATCTATTGAATTTTCAGAACTGGCTGGAAATAGAATAGTTTGGCAGATTATAAAATATAGTATTGCAGTTTTACTGATCTTTAGTATGTGGAAATGAAATGGATGAATATTTTACATAATGAACTAAGCATATTGATCCTAAGACACTAGCACAAACTTGATTTATATTAAACATTTTGGTTCTTACATTCTGCTAGCTGATGAACATCTTAACAGCTTAAAGGTTTAGGTGTAGCAGTAACAAATTTTATGATAATCTTGCTTGTCTAATTGTGTTCTCCCTACTACCCCAAATAACCAAATGAATCAGGGAGGGTCAGTTCATAATGCCATCACCTTTCCAAGACGAAAGTAATGTTTCTTTTATGTTTTCTAAATAATTGCTTCAGGGCCATTTTCCTGGCTCTACAGTGAGGCCTTTGTCAAGCAAATATATTTCTGGAATATTGCCACATAAAAGCTATCAGTGATAGCATTCATCTTTTTAATCAATGCATTTTTATACATTTAGGGTTTGGTAGACTAGCTTTAAACTATTAGAAGCTGGAGTTCCTGAAGAATTAAATAATTAGCTGGTTTAATTACATTTGTACTCAACAAATTGTCATTGGTTCCTCATTAAACTGGAAACTTAAGTAGAATACCATACAGGTCAATCCTGTTTTTATACTCCAGTAAGTGCAGAGACAGATGCTTATCAAATTTGTAGATGAAATTAAATTGGGTGTAATAGTAGAGTTTTCACATTTTTTTAGGATTTTTTCTAATTCCCTGGAATCCCTGATCAACAGGCAAAGCTTAAGTGACTGAAAATAGGTTATATTTGACAACCCTTTCCCCCTTTAGTCTCAGCATCCAATATATGTATATGTATGTATATGTATATATTCTTAATTAGATTATTTTTAAAACCCTGATCACAACTGTTTTTCTAAGTGACATGACTGCTCATTCCACAATGTTGGTCTGCAAGGATTGTCATGACAAGTTGGTTTTGTATTTCTTTCAATAGCATAGCTATATTAGCTGTGTCATTTGGAAAATGATACTACGTGTAAATTACATATGTATTAATGTGCTTTTCCTATTAAGCACAGTACTTTTTTATGTTTAACTGTTTTTTTTTCATGACCTCAAGTTCAATGCTTTATATGGCAATAGCTGAATATTCAAACAAGAAAAGCTAGAAAAGAATGAAACAATGAAAAACACCTTAATTACCACAATTACGTGCCCTGAAGTCTGTAATCTCTTACCCAACAAATAAACTCCCAAAATGATCTGAGCCAATCTAACCCTTTACATTTTTTAACTATGCACCCATTATTGCTGTGATTGAATCCATCCATTTTTACTGTTATTCTTTTCCTCTTTCACCTTTTGCAGGGTTATAAACTTCTCAAGAGGACTAGGTCTTTAGTACATTCAAAAATATAATCTCAGGCTGATAACAAGCACACATAAATTGGAAAAATTGAAAAACATTCAAACATTTGTTTCCATATAAACTTCAAAATAAATTACTCCAGAAAAACACAGAATAATTTAATAAAATATTTTATCATTTTTTTTTGTAGATAAAATATACAAAGCATTAAACGTTTTCTTTCATCCCAGAGCAGCTTTTCCCAGTCAGATGTCCATCCTTCAAAAGTATGACACTTCGATTTGAAAAGCTCCCAAGCAGGCTGGGGATGGCTATCCCAGAGTAGTGATGTTTTGACTCAAAATCTACCTCAATTTAAAAATATTAATAATACAGCATTATCATGATTTGGGTTTTCCACAATTTAACAAGATTAATGAACAAAGAAAATTAACTTGAGATCAAATTAGTAGAAAATGGTATCAAAGCAAGGTTTAAAAATTAAGTTGGAAAAATATTTTATTAATGCTATGCTCTTGCATATATTTTCTATACTCGGCAGATGTTTTTACAAAGAAGTAGCTCATACAATATTGTCTGAAAAAAGCCAGAAGACAATCTATGTCAAATTTTTCTATTCCAGCTTTTCTTGTGTTTTTTTTCCTTTATCTTCCAGTTCCCAACTTTAGACTTATAGGACAATGTACTATGAAAAGGCTTTATTATATTATGTTTTATTATCACTCTATGAAAAATTAATGAGGATTAATATATAAAGCATTGGCCCAATATCAAACACCAATGATGTAACAATTTAGTAATAGATGATGGTAGGCTTTTTTTTTTCTTAGAATTTTTTTTACAAAAAGAAGCAAAATCCAGGATACAAAAAAATCTGAGTGGCAGTTCTCACAATGGCTGGCAAATTGCTGTGTCAATCACAAAAGTATTTGCAAAATGGCGGATGTGATGACACTTCTCAGTAGCTCGTTGGTGGATATCTGGAAAAAGGAATCAGAAAAGAAAGTCAAATTAAGTAGGTGTTACTTGGATCCTTAGACCATAGAAAAAAAAAGAAATGCAACCATTTGATTTCTAAATTAAGTATGTAGAAATAAGAGCACAAAAACAACACAAATCATAGAGACACAAACATTACTGGCATTGTCAAACCCAACTCTCAAAAACTTTTCTCACTTTAAGTGATTTATGTAAAATAAAGTTCTGATCCAAATATACTATCATAACAATTTGTTACAGAAACAGCATCAAGACAAACTTACGGAAATGTATGGATATCTTTTTTCTTTTTACATTGAATTTTAAATTGTCAGTGAAGAACATAAATTTCTCTTTCCTTAATCTCTGAACATTTGCAATTTATAGCTGGCTATTTATTTAAACAATGTAGGCAGTTGCCCATCTCACTGAGGTAACTAGATGGTGCATACAACAAAATAACACTATAATTTACCAAGTGCATGGAGTTGGATGTGGGGAATATACTATCACTGAATAAACAGCCAGTACAGTTAGAAGTTCATTTAGATGGCGTGGTTTGTATTGGGCCAATGAGCTCATGTCACTGACCTCTTAGAATGCTTGAAAAGGAGATTTTCTTCTAATTTCCAAAAGGAAACATTGCTTTCAAGATGGTATATCTTGAATTGGCTTCAACCCTGGGATGGCTATTAGATGGAGGTTCAACTATGCGGGTAGATACCCAGCAAGTTTTAAATAAGGTACCTTCAAGTCAGGGCAAGGAAGTTATGTGGATGAGCCCATTATCATATACACATACACATGCACACACATATATATGAGAAATTAATATATATGCAAGGACATTAATTTTGAGTTAGGTACTATTTTAAAAATAGCTTCACTATCAGAATATTTCTTCTTTTGCCAATATAACATGTTGAATTGAAAAATAACTGCTGTAAATTTACAGTCCATTTAAGAAGCACAATATAAACTTCAGCAAAAGAAATAAAATGATGTTCCCTTACGTCCTCTTGCTATCCTATGGCCCAATCTGAAGGTTTCCTTCCCTTGGCAGAGTTTATGAATATAGGAGCCAAACAGAACTGGGTCAATGGCAGGTTCTGTCACCATCCTCTCTTCCTGGATCATGTTGGTTTGTGGCAAATATTCCCCTTTCTGCAAAGAATTTATAATTCACTGAGAAATTGCTTGTTTAAATATCTGGAAAGAAACATCTCTTCAACAAGTCCAAAACTATTATTTTCACTGTTGAGGAATTTTGGATCCATGCTTCAGAATATTACTTCAAGCAACAATAAATCATTTTTCTCATCTTAATCTATACATTGAAGTAACAATGGGATTAGGGCTACAAAATGATCATTATTTTGTATTTGTATTCTGATGATAATTCATCAATGCTGTATAAGAATTTCTCAATTCTTAACATTGATTCAAAAGTCAAAACGAAAATACAACACATACTGGGAATCCTACTTTCTTTTAAGTCAAATATCAAGGTTCCATAAACCAACTACAGCTTTTCAAAGTTGGTTACTATTATTGGAACCACAAGGAAAAGCATCAATTCCAAGGGAGGGTGCAATGGACATAAAATATAGCTTTAATCAAATATAGAATAAAAAGGATTATTTACTGACCTTTATATTAAGTGTCAGCTCCCAGAAATGGTTAAGTGGCATGATAATAGTAGTATTTAGCTCTCCAATGAAGCATTTATTTACTACCCAATCATAATAAGCTGTGAATCCCTGAAATCAGACCAAATAAAATCAGGATAAAAACAGGTTAATGTGCTCAAAACAGATTCAAGAACTCTCACAGAACAATCTGCGATGCTTAAAGCTAGTATGTGGTAAAAGTGACAGTGTTTGAATTGGACTGGAAATAGTATGTTTCACGTCCCCACTCAATCTCAGTGCTCACTGGATGATATATTGTCTCAGCCCAAATTAAGGTATCGGGAGTAGAAACCCAGAGACCACAAGTTCTAGTTCCGCCTTAGGCTCAAAGCTAGCTGGGTGACCTTGGTCCAGTTAGTCTTTTTCAGCCTTAGGAAGCAATGGCAAACCACTTCCAAAAAAATTCTGCTAAGAAGAAACTTGTAAGGACTAGTCTAGGAAGTTACCAATTGTCAATGCTGATATGAAGGTACCTACGCATAGCCCAACCTCACAAGTTTATTGTTGCAAAGATTGCATTAGGAGAAAAACCAAGGACAGACTCAGAGAATAGGCTAATAGAATCATATGATTTAACTTTTTATATCTTTCTCATAGGAAGCTGCTTTCCAGTTCCAGGAAACCGCCAGAACAAAATAGGAACACAAAGCCCCCACAAAAGGACACACACAGAGACACTAAAAGGAAAAACCATTAGGTTTGACATGCCTTATTCATTGAGCATTCCTGTTCTGACCAGCTGGTTTGAAAGATTCCACTAATGAGTGATGCCATGGTTATTATCAGTAAATATATGCCCAGATTAAAAACAAACTACCTCCCAATGAAAGCAGGATCTGGGTCATTTTTGTTTCTGCATGTCTTGTAAAACTGTAAGATTTTCAAAGGAAAATAAGTTTGATATCACGGCATTCCAACCCATTGTAAGCCTAGCTCATCAGGTTCCTTAAAATGCTTAGAGTTGGTACTAGGCTCTCCAACATGAATATTTCGTATTATTACTGAAGTGCTGAGACAAACAAGAGTTTTGTTAAGGTGGCAGAGTTAGGCTGCCATTTGATAATTAAATTTCAGATATAAACAGGACCTGTGACAGTATTTGCTACCTCAGAAAGGCAATGTGACTCACTCATGGCCAATGTGAATCACCAGCCTATCAAATCAAAAGGGCCATGTACTATGTGGTTTAGAGTATGGATGTCCAACTGAATTAAGCAGAGTCTTGGGCCACATATAAAATACATAATGTAGGGAAAATGAATAAATTACATAATAATGTTAAAAGTTTATTATGGTCTTGTGAGGTTGCATTACTTGCTGTCCAGGGTTGTATGTGGCCTTTGGGCCATGGGTTGGAAGCATCTGGTTTAGAATGTTAGATGTCAGATGGTGTCATACATTCAGTTCCCACTCAACAATAAAATCTCTGGTTGGTTTTGTCCAGTTCCCAAAGTATATCTGAAATTTGTTATGAAAATATATTGAAATATGTAATACTAGCTTGATACCCATGCTTTGCTACAAAACTATGTGGTTGCGCGTAGTTTTGGGGGAGGAAAATAAGGGGGTGGAATTCTGCTTCTGCCTACCAGCATCCATCGGTATTTGTCTGGCTAGCGTCCTGTCAGTATGTGTGAGTTTAAAGGCTGTTTGGAAACTGAAACAGTATTTGCTGTGTGAGCAAGGAGGAGACAGCAAGGAGCCTGAGCGTGGCTTAGCTCAACAGTTCCATCCTAAAGCTGATGGCTGCTGTGAAACTAAAACTGAAATTCCTCTCCTCTACTTGTGTTTTGTATTTGGAACAGATTTCTTTTCAGGTAGGAAGGGGGCGTAGAACTCCTTAGCATCAGAACGTATTACTAACAATATAGGAAATACTAATGCTTTTATGATCATTTTGAAAGATCCTTTCTTAGGGAGCACCTAGAAGCCAAGAAGAACATATGTGCCAAATTTCAAGTTTGTAGGCTTTACAGGTTCTGGAGATTTTGTGATGATACATGAGTGGTATTTCAATTTTATATATATAGATGAGTTCCTGGAAAACGTGTTCAAGGAAATAACTTTCAAAAAAGTATTTTCTATACCTTTCTTTGTTTTTATCTTAGACATTTCTTTCAAAGTATGTGAAGCCTAATTTCTTACCTGTTGAAAATCATGGATAATATCTGCAGGATGCCCAACATTGGGTCTTGGGATGCTGATCTCCTCATAATCCTCTCCAAGGAAAATCTTCACATCCTCATACACTGTCCTGATTTCAGATGAATCATCGAATTCAAAGTAGTCACATTCCAAACCTCCTTCCTCATAATTGTAATATTCCGTCCTTTGCTACAATAGTTTAATAAAAAGTTCTCAAGCATAATTGGCTGTGTTATTACCTCATTTTTAAACGTTTTAAATATAAAAATTGAGTTTGCATTGCAGAATATGCCACAGACTTAAAACTGAGCGATAGTTCTTTCCCACTGACAACAATTCAGTGCAAGAAATTTGTACCCAAGTGTTGACCTTATATATACCGTCTGTCCTGTTTTTGTCTATCATTGTCTGCATCTATGAAATTGCTAATCTGAAATCACTTCTTTATGTCTTTCTACACAGGTTCCTACTTCTGAATATACCACCTGGTAGGATGCAGTTAACTAGGTACTAGGCTTTGCCTAGCTCTATAATGTATTTCCTCCAAATGAATCTCCTTTTATTGGAGCAAGTTGCAGAACCTGCTCCAGTAAACTTCCAGAGGAGAATCCATCATTTCTAAGCTTTAAAAAAAACAAAAACAAGATGGTACAATGAGACACAGAAAACTTTAACTCATTGCTGGATGCACATATATTTGCAGTCCAAGACCGGTAACTCTAATACATGTGAGTGGAGTTTTGGTCACAAAAAAAGCAGTCCTAATTCTTTTCCTACCAGTTTTTTTTTCCTGTTTGCTAAAACCAGTTTTTTCTATATTTTATTCAGTATTCAGTTTAGTCTTTTCGTTAAGGCATCAGAAGAGAAACCAGGAAACTGAGTTCTAATCGTGTCTTAGGCATGGAAAACAGCTGACAACCTTAGACCAGTCACTCTCTCAGTCCAACCTTCCTCACAAGGTTGTTGTTGTGGGGAAAACAGGAGGAGGAAGTGTATTGGATATGTTTGCCACCTTCAGTTATTTATACAAATAATAAAGGCAGAATAAAAACAAAATATTCTATATATAATTCTTGTAAACATGATTGCAAATAACAACTTGCAATTGACTGTAATTATCTAGAGACATATCCCTTCTCAATGAAGCAGCTTCCTAAAGCAGCTTTTCTGCAGTTTTTCCAAAATGCTGATGGTATTTGTTGCATTTGTACATATCATGCGGATTACCAATGCCTCATCTGATATTCTGTATACCATATTTACTCAAATGAAGCATCTTCCTCTTGCCCTTGTCAATTATATTTTTTAAATGAAGGGATCATCTTGGATCCAAATATAGTAGCATTGAATGTTTGTTTTTATTGCTAGATTCAAGCATATTTTCCCATTGAGGAAGATGAGCAGGAAATAGACAAGATAGAGAAGGCACATGTTGCTGCTTTCTTATTAAATAAAATTAAGTGGCTGAGTGGGGTGAAGTAGAGAAGCAGTATTACACCTTCATGTATGTCAAAAAAAGGCAGTAAACAGAATGTGAAAAGCAAGTTGGTATGGACAGGAATTACATGTTCTACAGGTACAAGGAGCAGTTACCATGGAAAGTTTGTTCATAATGATACTATAGAAAGAGGAAATCCTCAAGCAAGGATGAGCCTTCAGGAAAGGTAATGGGAAAAAGCTGAAACTATCAACACAAGTCTCTACTTACTAAAGCCCTATGGACATTATTCAGTGGATATACAGTAAAAAGGCTTTCTCATTGTAAACCACAAACGTCCATTCACAGAAAGAAAATAGAAAGCCAATTTTGCAAATATTGAAGGGCATAAATTCTTGACCAGTTATGGCTGATGAATATAAATTATAGTTTAATAGTAGCATATTATCTACTATCACTAAAGAAAAGAATGTCATTTTAGTAATGTTCCTCTTCTGGCTATGCTGGGAATTATATGCTTTATGTCTTTATTATATGCTTTATATCTTTCATATATGAGGCATGATCTATCAAATATTGGGTTAGAAAATATAAAGGGAGAGCTTACGCTGAAATTACTTTGGCTATCTGAAATGGGAAGCTCAGTTGTCTCAAATTGCTGTGTAGCTCAAGCAGATCAGTGGAGCAACTACTTCACAAGCTTTAAAGTGGAAATGTTAATCCTCTGATTGTGTAGATGAACAAAATCATACATACCATATCCATGCCCATTTGAGCAACTGACTGAGTAAGAGATAAATATTTGTAGATGTAGGTTGATGTTAAAATCAAGCCAAGCAGTAACAACAAAAATCCCAAGGCCAAAAAGAAGATGCAAGTAAGAGGTCTCCAACTCTGCTGTGGCAAAGATAAGGGCTGCTTCTCCTGTTTAAAGAAAAGGGACAGGATCACTCATTAATGGACAGCACAGTAAATGCAGAATATCCTCAGCAGGATGGTTCTATGCCAAGCTTCCTTTTTTCATGTTGTGTACATCTGTTTTCTTTTACAACAGGCTTCCTAAGAAGGAAAAATAATATCTCTAAAAAGGTAATAAAAGATAGAAATATGCTTGACTCAACATGACTTGCTGATCACTTTCTCCTTGGAAAGTAGAAGAAATACAACAGGATCAGCTAATTAATATTGAATTTTTAATACTAAGAAATAATTCAATCAAGGAACCAAAAGTAACTAATATTGGGGAAAGTCATAATTTAATACTTGAATTCTTTGTTTAAAGGCAAACTAAGGTACAGTCAGGCATGAATCTTGAACTAAAAAATCAGTTTTTAATAAACTCATAGCACTGACAAGTAGGAAGGAGAAACTACTGTAAGAAGAAAAAGGAGCTCCATTTCTAGCAGACTTAAGTTGCAGGAAAATATTGACTAAATGTTAAGGAAAGCTTCCTAAGAGTAAGACTAGTCTGACAGCAGAACTAATTACTAGAGGAATCTTTATTAGATGTATTATGGTGGTGATATTTCATTTCAATTTCTGGAAGAGGTTGGGGGGGATGGCTTAATTAGCATAATCTAACAGATTCTTTTATTCTACTGATGTAGCATGTTTACAAATGTACATGAAACTTTCCTAAGTAACCTAAACGAACAACAATCAACTGCCATTTCACATTCTGGTTCCTTAAATCATCTCTTCTAATTTAACTTTGCATATTGCCTCAGACACATTTGTGCAAGGATGTGAAGAATATAAATAAACAAATGATATCACTGTGTGTTCCAATGTCCATGAGATCAGCCTACTCAATGATAATACCAATTCAACATTGTAACAGCAAGCTACAGCCAAGTAAGACAAAGAAGGATGTCTGTAAATAGCTAATCTCCCATCAATACTAACTAAAGTAGGCACAGCTTATGTATCGTATATATTTGTAAGTCTATATTTTAATGTGTGTATGTATATATGTATGTGTGTGTGTGTGTCCATGTGTGTGTGTGTGTGTATACACTCATACACACACACACACACACGCATATATTGCAATATAAGGAGAAAAAAATCATAAATTTCAACAGATGAAATTACTTCTCGTTTCTGACTCCATCTTTTTCAGAAGTTTCTTTAATCAATACTGCCTACCACTTCTTTTCTCTAGGCACAGAGGCACATTTCAAACAAAGCTACTTATAGACTGTATGCTTCTAGAACAGGGTTGTCAAAGACAGGTCGTAATTGTGGCATCCTGTGACGTATCGGGACTTTTTCCCCTTCGCTAAACTGGGCATGGGTGTGGCCAGTGCATGACACATCCTGCCCGTAGGCTGCAAGTTTAACAGCCCTGTTCTAAAGCATTTTTGCACACAACTGCATAAAAAAATACTTGTTTGAAGATGTTACTTGCTTTGCAGGATGCCAAATAAATAAATACATAAAATAAATTAAAAACAGAACTAGTTGAGCACCAGAGAAACTGACTACCCTTGAGTGCCATAACTCCAATGCCCAATCTTTCCAGAAAGTGGAGAGGAGGGGACTAAGAGAATGGTTTTATATGTGTGTGTGTGTGTGTGTGTGTGTGTGTGTGTGTGTATAGTAGTCAACATTTCTTCAGAGCATCATATACTAGTTTTTCCTAATTATGAAAAACATCTAAGCCACATTCAAATAAATTAATAGATGGTTTAGACAGGGTGTTTTTTTAAAAAAAAATCTCTTCTTCACCTCATCCCTTATCTTTAAAAAGGTTATAGTTCCTACAGTTCAGGAACAAAACCCTGAGAGAATTATCTTTATTGCTAAAGTGATACAGGCCTCCAGTGTTAATCCAACAGATTGCAAAACAAAATATGAATTTTGTTCAGGTGTGGGGCTAGTCCAGCTAATGTGTCAATATTCTACTTAAAGTTGTTTCCATTAGGTAGCTCTATGAATGAATTTTGAATGAATGCAAAACATTTATTTTTTATCAAGGGCTGACATGTTTGACATCAATCAAAACACAGAGGGAATAATTATAAATTTATCTCTAAAGACTTTCTAGCAAATTCAGATTTCAAGACTTTCCTAAGTTATCTTCTCATTTCTGTAAAAAAACAATTTTCAGGGAATATTGTACTAAAACAGCACTATGAAACACTTTGTAATAAAATGTGTTACAGGTATGGATTTGAAAATTATGCTGCCTGGATTGAGAGTTTTATGTGCAGGAGTATGTTCGAGGGGTTTAGTAAGATTTGCATGACAGCAAAAAAAAGTCTTAGGGACAAAAGCTTAATATTATAAAAATAAACTTTTAAAATTGAATTTTACACTTCTTTTTTAGCCTACAGTGACAATCTCCTTTAAGTCTTTTTAACTCTACAGATCTAGTGTAAGCAGTGTAGGTCTACAACCTATAAGCCTCTTCTCCCAAATACAAGGGAACAAATACCAGAAAAAGTGACCTTCTCCATTGTATATGTTATAGTGCTACATACTTTGCCTCACTGTGAAATTACTCAAAACACCACAGATGTAATTTTTGGCTACCAAAAATTCATCCACATATGATCTAGCCAGAATGTGCCTCCTAAAAATAAGATTAGTAGAGCTCATTATATCTTTTAATCTCACCTGCTAATGTAACCACAATTCATAACACAAGGCAACCACCAGGCTTGAAAAAAAGCCACCAACATGGTCACATGCAAACTACAGAAGATGGAAATACTACCTCTGCTGTTTTAGATCACAGATCACAAGAACTAAAAATATTCTTAACTTCATTTCAGCTTAGAGAAATGTTCTGCAACTATTGCAATTTGTGGAAGACATAAATAGGTCCCCAACATGGTAACAGTAGGGATATTATACAACAACATAAACAACAAAGAATGAAGTCAAGTTCCCATCATTTAAAAAAAAAAAAAAGAACACAGGAGCAGCAGAACAATCCCTCAGAAGGCCTGATAGAGAATGTCCCCATAGTAACAAAGAGGCTTGTTTTCCCAGAAATTTTTGGCCTTTTTCCCTTGGTTTTATAACTGGAGATATTCAAGACTCTAAGAAGAAGACTAGCCATTCATCCATGTCAAAGAAACAGAAATAATCTGAAACATGTATCATTCAAATCCTCGAATAAGAATAGAGCCAATCCTAGAGTAGGACTAGAGAATCTAGTCAGAGGTTCATAGCATCACTCAAGGTAAAGATATGACTTTCCCCAGAAGTATCTCATCTACCAGGTGAAATAACTAAGAACTACCTTCTCTAACCTGGTGCCTTCTGAAATGCTATGGATTGCAACTCACATGAACTCAGGCAACATGATACTGTACAGGAATTGGAGTCACAAACATACAGAATAAAAGAGTGTTTGGAGGGAAAACTGGACAAGAATAGAGGGGAGGAGAAGCTCATCTGACTTATTATTAAAATGAAATGTAACAGCTTTTAAGTATCAAACAATCCATATCTTACAATCTTGGCACTGAGACACCAGGCTCTGATCACGAGCCTTTAAAATAATTTCACATGTATACCATACATTCAGAAGTACAGCAGGGGGTAGATGTTTGGAAAATAGGTGTTTAATTAACACCTTTCAAGCAAATGTTGCTTGTGCTATCAAAGTTAAAAGATTCTTTAGGGCTGGGAAACAGTTGCCTAAATCCAGAGAGTTGCAACTGACTATATATGGGCCCTGGTTGCCAATTGCGGCACCGCAGACATAACTTGTAGAGAGAGGATGTAGAGTGGAACCTTGTCTAACCTGATGTACATTGACTTCATAAGCTCCCCTGATACCCAGCCAGCAGCACATTTTCCACTCTGCTGGCAGGAAGAGATGGAAACAGTTCAGCACATGTGGTGCCAGAGTCGAAGGTAGAGGATTTGGGGTTTGGTTTGGTTTGCTTCGTTATTAGCTGAAACCAACAGCAGGCACGTCTGGTTTTCTGTCATCCCTGTGGAAAGTGGGGGGGGGGGGGATGCTCACTGTCCAGTCGTCCTAGCCAGAGACAAGCCGTACAACAGTAGCACTTTTAAAGAGACTCCACTCCTTCCCTCTATGAAGGGAACTTCTGTTCTCTCCCCGGGCCCGAATCGTTTAGGATGAATGCGCTTTTCTTCACTGCCAGCGGCCGCGGGACCTATTTCGATCTTACCTGATTTACTCAAATACCGTAAAGCCATATTGCGCGATGCAGCAGCTCCATCTTCGGAAAGTACCAAATCGTCCAGAATCGCCTCTATGTTTAACGCGACTTCACTAAGTGTGTTCCCCCACAAGGTTTTGTTTTTTTAGGTGTTTTTTTTTAAAACCACCACAATATCGTCGACTCCTGAGAGCGTTCATTTATTCATCATCAGTAACTGAAATGCAACCCCGATCTGAAAACGCCACCGCGCCAGTGGTCTCCTACGTACTTACCGCATCCTGAGAAAGGACGAGGCCTTTTGCCGGGGCCCCGTGGCGCGTTGCAACTGCTGTCTCTTTCTTCGGCTTGAGCTCAGCTGTAACCGGCTGGAAACCGATTTTCACCATAGTTCGACTGCAACTGCCCAGGCGAGCCCAACCAGCTGTTTCGTGCAACCCGCGCAAGTGTCTCCCGCGAAGATCGGGGCTTTTGAGATCCCCCCCTCAGCGAAGAGAAGCGACGGCAGGCAGCTCCGTTTCTCCTCCGGTTTTCATTGGCGAAGGCGAGCGCCCTCTTTGCAGAAGCCCAGCCTTTGATTGAAAGTGGGCTGTTGGTGGGAGGCTCCCCTCGCACGTGCTGAAAAACTCCGGCCTTTCTACGCGTGCGTCACAAAAGCCCTCCTTAATTCTACCCGGAATGAGTCTGTAGAGCAGAAATTTAAGAATTGTGGACTTCAACTCCCAGAATTCTCCAGCCAGAGAATTCCGGGAGTAGAAGTCCACAAGTCTTAAAGGTGCCAAGTTTGGGGATCCTAGAGATTCTCAGTCATCCAGGTCATGATTATCCCAAAGGTGCTTTATTCAGGAAGCAACTGGACTTTCTTGTTGTTATTGTTTTGAAGACATTTCGCTTCTCATGAAGAAGCTTCATCAGCTCTGACAGGATAATGGGGAATTGAAGGATTTATATTCCTTCCAGACAGCTGGTCATTTGCATCCTTTTAGAGGGTAGTTGAAGCACTTGGGGAGTTATCTGTGTCCTCAGGGTCACTTGAGTACTTCTATTCCCCACTATCCTGTCAGAACTGAAGCAGCTTTTCAGATGAGAAGCAAAAGGTCTTCAAAAGAAAAAACAAGAAAGTGCAAGAAGCTCCTTGTCTACCTGGAATGTCTGAACACAGGGCAGAATCTTTGAGGATGAAAACAGATTGAAATCCAGTGATACACCCAGAAAGCGGTTAATAAAATCCAGTAAAATCTCTTTCGGAATAAAAGCCAGCTATCTAGAATGTCAGTCTAATTGACACACAGTAGGAATTCCAGAACATGAAAAGGCCAGCCTGTTGTTGTTTTTACTGAAACACTACATTTTTTGCTGCTTGCCTACTCACCAGTCATCCATGTATTGCTAAACTGCTATTATTACTATTTACTAGCTTAATGAAGGGGAGATTGGACTTGGCGCTAGCTATTTATTTTATTTACTTACCAATTTCATATGTTGCTCATCTTGCAGTTCAGAGACACTGAGCAGCTTACAACATAATAAATGTACGGATGTAAAAAGCAATTATAAATGAAAATAGGTTAAAATTACAAAAGATTAAAAGAAACTTTAAAAAAAATCAAGAGTGTAGAGTGGAAAGATGGCAGCGACTTCTCTATTATTATATATTACCCACCTCCAACAGCTTCTTCAGGGCCCCATACCAACCACCATAGCCACATTTTAAGGTATTTAAATGAAGGCCAGAAAGATGGGGGCTGGCCCTCACTTCCGGTGGCAAGATGTTCCAAAAGGATGGCATGACAGAAAAGATTATTCACCAGGACCCCACGGCTACAATTTCTTGATTTATGGGGTCCGCAGTAAACATCTTTTGCCATTAGTAGGTGGGCCAATCCCATTTAGGCGACAGCTCCTCAGATATCCTAGACTTATGCCATAAAAGGCTTTAAAGGTAATGACCAATATATTGAATTGCACCCAGAACCAAAGCTGCAGCCAGTGCAGTTCAACATAACAGTGGTGTTACATGTGCCACCATAGGAACTCCCAAGTGTCCATGCTGCTGCATTCTGAATTGTAGCTTCCAAATGCTTTTCATGGGTAACCCCATGTAGAATAGGTTGCAATAATCCAAATGGGAGAGGACCCGGGTATGGGTAATTGAGCTCAGAGCTTCCATGATCCAGAAAAGGCTGCAATTGGTGCACAACCCGAAATTATGCAAAGGCTCTCCTAACCACAACTGCGCTTCAAGCAGGAGCCCCAAGTCTAGGCAAACCCCCAAGTTGCAAACTGGGACTGTCTGGGGTACTGTCACCCTATGCAGAATTAAAGATGGTAAAGCTCTGGATTCCAAGAATTCATTTCTGTCTTACCTGTTGTCCTTCATTCAGATTTGAGAAAGTAGTTTATTTGTTTTGCTTACTTATTTTGTTTGGAATGCTTTTGTTGAAGGCTTTGTATACTTGTGGTGGCTATGATTATATTATTGTTTATAATATTTATAGAAATTTACATTCTAATTTGGAATTAAGGAATTGGGGTCTTCTTGTAAACAGAGATAAGTGCTATTTCAGTGTTTAAAACAGGAGCTTATATTGTTTTTTTTTAATAGAATGTTCTATATTCCTTCAAAGGATAAGCAGTTTTTACAGAAAGCTTGGATGACATGAGATCCATATAAGTGGTCTGTAATTCTTAAAGCACAAGAATTTTATTTATTTATTCAATTTCTATAATCGCTTATCTCAATCATGACCCTTGGTGGCTTACAATTTTAAAAAACAATAAACACATTTTAAAACAATAAAAAATATACACATAGAAACCAAGATACTTGGCCAGTTAACAATATTGCCAGGAAACATGGCCCTTAGCATATTCAGCACTCCAAGTTCAGGAACTTAGCCAGGTTTTTAGGGCCTTATAAAAGGTTAATAAGGTTGGAGCCATTCTAACCTTGGATGAGAGGATATTTCCATACTGATGGTTAAGGAAGATGTCAGATGAAAACCATTTTAATACTCAAGATTAATTCATTTCAGCATTATTGAATTCAACATTCATATCTTCCATAATTTGTACATAATTATTTTCAGTGTTTATATAACAAGCAACTGGTTCATGTAATAGCCATGGGCATCAATAATCAGGACTCAGTGAGGAAACTGAGAAAATACGCATATGAAATATGGGATAGAAGTACATATAGTTGGTATTGTGGCATCATTGCAAAAATGTCATTTTTATATGATTATGGCTTGCTGGAGACAAAACAAATATAAATCTGTTAACCCATTATTTTAAATCTGAAATAGTTTTTCAATTCTGAACAGCTATCCTGTTTGTTGCCTCCTCAGTGGCAATATTAGCAACTACTGAGTATCCAGGTTGTGTCAAAATCAGCTCCTACATCTGCATTTTAAGCTGTAAGTCATATATGGGACATATTGATTGTAGGTGTCTATGGAAATTCTCAATCATCGAGGTCACGGTTGTCCCAAAGGTGCTTTTCCAAAGGTAGGACCTAGGTGCTTAGATAAGAAGTGAAATGTTTTCAAGGAAAAAAACAAAGTCCAGTTGCCTTTTGAAAAGCACTTTGGGGACTTTGATTGCAGATATAATCTCAGTTCTTCTGCTTACAAGAAACTTTCATTATATACCAGTCAACTCTACTTTCTATTGGGCCTTTTATCAAATTATTACTAGGTTTCATATAAATAACTTTTTCCCCCAAAGCCTGAATTCAAAAACAAGTTTACTCATTTTTAGCACTTGTTGAATTGAAGCCATAGCTGACTTTGATTTCTACAGTTAGATACTTTAATCAACTTAAGACTCTTGAGCCTATAAAAGAAATTCAAAAGACATTATTCTCCTATGCAATTATGAGAACTTTGGGACAACATGCAGGAATGGATACTTTTATAAATCAAGGTCACCTTTAAAAAAATCTGCAATTACCCAAGTTGCATCTTAGAAAAATCATAATACAGTAAACAATTCTATCTATTGGACATCTCAGAGAATGTTTAACAAGATTGTGGGCCACATCTTGCTGTTAGAGATGTAGGTTAAAAGTTGAACATGGCTTGGATTTGTCCAGCTATTACTGAATTTTGGACTAAAGCTATGAAAGCATTAATATGACTTCTAAATCATTACTGATTAAGAACACCCAAGTATTGCTTGACTCCAGCAGTTAGAATATGTAGTGGACTAAAGGTGTACATAAACTAGACAAGTGTACTGAGTAATGCAATACTAGAAGAACAAATTTACACCTGACTTATATCAATAGAACGTATGTGGTCTGTCAACATTTGAACTGGGTTTGTGGTTCTTTTTTAAAAAACAATGAGCAATAAAGAATAATCAAGCAATCTGCTCACATTGTTTGGATTGTTTCCTTATGAGAGAATTTTTCAGTCTCTTATCCCCTCTCTTTGTATGTGTGGCTAGAGATAAAATTTTATTGTACATTATTTAGTAAACGTTTTATATATTTTTTCTCGATGATTTTTTTTTAATGTAAAGGTTCGAGATATTCTTCAGTTGATCAATCAACTAACAAATTTTAGTTTATTATTAGTTGCTCAGTTTACAAAGCAAGTACTCTTCTAGTGATGAGATACTTGCACTGGATTCTGTATTTTTATTTTTGTAGGATTGCAATTCTGTGCACACATACACCAGAGTATTGCTCACTGAATATAGTGTAAACAACTGTAAACAACAAGCAGACTGAAACACTAACAGTGTGGTCTACTCTGAGAGTTCTAGGAAAGAGCATGAAAATAACTTTTGGAGAAAACAGTCCAATCCTTCCAATGTGGTGGCTCAACTACTTCTCTAAAACTGCAATTGTTTTTCAACATTTCTAGTTGGTGAGAAATAGAGCCTTCCAGTTTCTATGGCAGACAATTTCATTGTCTAGGTTACATATCACTTATACAAAGACAACTGAACTACCAGGCAATAAATTCAACAATATATTAATGTGAATGCTAAAATGTTTCAAAATACAAAGTTCATTTCTGGACTTAATATGTAAAATACTAGCATTAGAAGTAGATATTTCTGGTTAAGTTGAAATAACCCCTGTGGAAAATCTGATTTTCAACTATACTAATTTTGCTACTAAACTTCACATTATTGCCTTTATCAAATGTCAGCTTAGAGCAGGGCTGTCAAAATTCGTGGCCCAGGGGCCAGATGCATCACAGGCTGGCCACACCCACGCCCAGTTTAGCAAAGGGGAAAAAGTCATGATATGTCATGTGACGATGCCATGACGACACAAGTTTGATACCCCTGGCTTAGAGCCTTTGATATATGTATGCACAACAAAAGATTAGTATTCATTAATTAAATTAGTCAATTTAGTCAAGTCAAATCAGTCAAAATCAAGCAACACTTGGAGGCTTACAATTCTAAAATTATAAAACAATAAAAACATCCATAAATAAGTACAAAAAGCAGCAATGAAGATGAATAGTGAAGACAAGTAACAAGGTCCTTAATACATTCTAAGCTCCAGGCCCTTCTAA